TTGGTTGAAACAGCTTCCTCTTAGCAGGAAAGAAAGCTGTGGCTGTACTGAATGCAAAGTGACTGATAGAAGAGGGCCTCTAGAAACTAGGAGAGGGGACAATAAAGGGGGCGGGCAGCAGAGGTGGTGGACACACATCTAGAGTGTAACAGACACCAGCTCTGGGTCTCACCCCACCCGACCTTGCTGTTCACTGGCCTTGGAAAGGCAGACCACACATCAGAAGAGGCAACCCAGAAGGCCTGGCTTCTCTGGACCATGGCTGTTCCATCCTGGTGGCCTCACTCAGGCTTGAGATTTCATCTCCAACTGACAGCCACTGAATGGCAGCTGATCCACTCACCCACATCCACCTGAAGTTTATAAGTCACCTGACCCCCTGGGTTTTATCTCACCAGGAACTTGAATTTTGTCCTGAAATTTCTTTCTGTAGCACAAAGCACAGTCATTTTCTACAAATCCTGTTTAGAACTTCCCAGAACTGAGCTACAAATAATATCAGAGGAGACAGGAGCCAGCTGCTGTGAGAAAGCCAGCACGGGCCAGCCAGCTGGTCATCAGACTAGGGTTTCAAAGGTCAGAAAACAACACTTCAGCGCCCACTGTCTCCCACTGCTCAGTTGAGTCCTGGCCAACCGGCCATTCACCCCATGGCACAAAGGGTGGATGAGGGATGGCTTCTGGTGGCCAGAGAATGGGAGAGGGGAAAGGCGGTGTGGCAGCAGGACTGGCAGGGAAGGGCCTGAACTCTGCCCAGGGAATGGCACACCAGTCTGCATCATCCACTTCGTGACACACAATCTGCTGAAAACTCTACCTCTCAATCATTTGTACAGAGGCAGAATCAACAAAGACCTTCACCAGAACCTGACAGGAAGTGCTTCCTCCGTACTATGCTCCTGGAGCTCAGGGCTCCAAGTAGAAAAATCAAGCAGGGTCCTACCCTAGGAGAACACAGTGTCTGCTCAGGTAGGAAGCAACAGAAATCCTCTGTGACCAGGGAGACTTTTGCCTTCCTTTTCGGTCTGATCTGTGTCGGCTCAGGGAAAGTCAGAAGAAGTGACGGCAGTGACATGAGTTCAAATATCAACCCACTGGGAATTCCTCGCCCCAGGAAGAGAAATCCCTAAACATGCCAAGTCCAGCCTTCTCTCTGTTAATGGAATTTGCGAGTTGTGGTTAAAGACTAGGGGAACACTTAGGCATGGTTGGCCAGAGAAGATCCAAGAGAGGAGAGAGTATTTGATTCCCTCTAAGTTTTATGCTAAAAGAAGCTCATCCCTGAAGGAGGTCTCTAAGGACTTGGTTCATGAACTATTGTCCTCCTGGGCTTTGGTTTTGTTTTGTTGCTTGAGGTCCCCTCTGAACCTTGCCTTCAAGACAGGTTCTGGTCTCTGGAAGTCAGACCCCTAACAACAACATCCGCTACTTCATTTGCTGTTGTTGTTGCTGTTGTTGTTTGTGGCACTGGTGATGAAACCACCTTGCACGTGGTGGGCACACTCGCTACCACGGAAGAGACCCCCCAAGCACCCTCTCTTGAATCCCGACACTGTCCTTTACTAACCAGGGGACCTTAAGTAAGTTATTTCAACTCTGTGCCTCAGTTTCCTCATCACTGAAATAGAGATAACAGTATTTCTAGTTACTATTATGTAAAGATCAACTAAACTAATTCTTCAGAAGGGCTCAGCCCCATGGATGGCATACAGCAAAGTGCTTCTAAGCATGGCTTATTAAATTAACTCATCTCCTCTGTCCAGACATATAAGAGAGAAGCCACATTCGGCACCCTCATCGCCACCTTAGGCTGAGTCTCCTCTTCTTTTTTCTTCCTTTTGAAATAACAGCTGGGCCTGGTCCCTCCAGATCAGAGTCCCTTGTGGACATATCCACCTTTGGTTCCCTTCTGAGCTACTCCAGATCTGCACCTGCTCCGGGCTCCCTCCCCACCAGGTTGTCCCTGAGCCTTTTTTACTTTCTGGTTTCTGCCTTTATCTATGCTGAGGCTTCAAAAGTGATACCCTGGGGCCAGGGAGATGGCTCAGTAGAATAAGCACTTGCCTGGCAAGCGCAAGGGCCTGAGTTCAATCCCCGGTTCTGAAAAAAAAAAGTGATACCCTAAGTGTGTGGCACTTGGGGTTAATGAGTTCTTTGAATTAAAAGACACTGGAAGGCGTCACACCAAGGGCTCACTGACCCTTTCCCGCCCTCTCATCTCTCACCCATCATGACCCTCAGAGGTGAGTCACACCAGCTAGAATTCCTCCTCCCCAGGGGCAGGTCATAGAACTGACAATCCCTTTCCTGCAAAGTCAGTCATAAAGCCTACCCTAACTTCCCTGCTTCTCACTCCAGATAGCCCTGGTCTTACCTGAGAGGAAAAATGCTCCAGCCAAAGAGACCAGGAAAAAGCTGACCACACAGGCATGCGGGCTTCTCTCTCAGCTGTCACTGTTAAATCAGACTGGCTTTGTCCAGTTCTGTTCCTACATGCTTATCCTGCTTCCTAGAACCTGAGCATCTAATACACATTCTCCCCCTTGTCTTTGGAGAGCTCCTGTGTCGCACAAAACTGTGCTTAAATAACCTTGTTGGACTTTTCTCTTGTTACCTTGTTTACTTGTTTCTTTTGGGGGGCAGATCTTGCTGCACTGCCCAAGCTGGCCTTGATCTTCAGAGCTCTGAGAACCTCCCCACCCTTCTACCCATCACCCTGGGCCTCCAGTTTCAGTCTGGGGGAAACAAGTCCATACCACTACTCCAGTGATCCTACCCAGACTTCCGTTATGGAGCTTTTGTTGTTTTGTACTGGTGACTAAACCGAGGATGTAGCTTTATACTGAGCCATAGCCCCGGTCCTTTTTCTTTATTTATTTTGCTACAGTGATTTTTTTTAAAAAAAATCTTTTTATACACAACTCTTATGCTGGAGAGAAAAAGGCCTTGCTGCACATAGGAGTCTATGTCACAGAGCCAGCTCCCAAAATTCATCCCTCCTTGAGCCTTTGCTCTTTTTGATCTGCTCTTCTCCTGATAGTTCACAGCTAGTAGGCATTTCAGTCCATTGTCAATTGGCTGCAAGGCAGGGTGCGCAGCGGAGGGGCATGGCAGAGGAGAAGCAGTTCATGGTGTGGCAGGCAGAACGCAGCAACAGCAAACTGCAAGCACCAAACCTCCTTTTGCCCTTTCCTTCCATGCAGGCTACAAGCATTTGGAGTGGTACCCGGGAAGGTCACGCGTCTTTTCCTGAGTTTCAGCACTAACCCTAAGCAGAATGTGTAGTGCAGCCTCTCCTGGAAGCATAATTCTGTTATCCTTCCCTGCTGAAAGAAAAAAGTATTCCCAAATAGACTTGACTTGCCTGAGCCATTTTTGGAAGCGGGCTATCAAAGCTCGGGCAAGGGTTCAACTGTGGAAAACTCCAATCCATTACGATCTAGCACATGTGGAAATGATTAATGTGCAACTGCCGTGTGTCATCTGGGCCATCGGTGACCAGCAAAACCACAGCAAACATTGAAATAAGTACAGGAAAATCCTTAAACTCTTTCAGGCCAACTCTATTTTTCCAGAAGAAATTGCAGTTACTTTTCCCCTTAAAATGCAGTGAGAGTGGGGAGAGGACACAGCAGCGGGGAAGAAAGCTCTGACCACGGCTATCACATCAAGTGGGGAGGGAGGGGAGTCAGCTGGCAGGGACCAGCGCCTCCACGGCACAGATTTTGCTGTACTTAATAAGCCCCCACGGGGCCTCTCCGCTTCGTACAGGACAACAGCCATCAAGGTGGCCCGTCATCTTTTCTTGGCCTAGCTCTCCAACATGAAACCTGCACTCACCATTGGGACCAACTCTCTAGAAAGCATAGAACAAGAACAAAAGAGAAAGCGCATCTCTCTCTCCAAACTGAAAGGCAAAATCTTTCTTAAACTCTAGACCAACTGAATAAAACTTTGACAAGGGCCATTCATTACTAATCCATATAATTAGCCAGTGGCTACCTTGTCTCCTCAACTCTTTGACCTAAAATTAGGACAAAAACAGCTCACTCATGGGTTGTAAATGCCTGACATAAAAACAAGGGATTTGCTCCTGGCATTGGTTTCTAAGAAGAGACAGAGGCGTCCCCTTAGGATTTGCTTTTTTCTCACAGAGATGCATGCCAGAGGCAGTGGCCAGGCTGTGCTTTGACTGCCAGTGAGGCTGGGCCACCTGGGGGCACAGGGGACCAGGGATGGCGCCCTTCCTGCCCCAGGTACCAGGCTCCTTGCTGCCTGGAGCCCCACAGAAAGAAGCGAGGACCCAAGGCACTTCCTCAGTATCTTTGCAGGGCTAACAGAAAGGCCTTTGGAGTTTTGTCCCAAGTGCTTTTCAGTTCAAAAGTGGAATCCCTTTTGTAGCTGTCCATATAGGGGACCAGGGCTCAGGGTATCCCTTTAAATCGGGAGGAGGGGATACGCGGCTGCCTGGAATGTGGACTGGAACCGGCACCCAGCCAGGACTCCTGGGACCTGGGCCTGCCTGGTGGTCGACGCTGGGAACCTGGGGCTGCATGCTGACCCTGGTTGCCCTACTAGATTCTCTGCCACTGCGCAGCCCCACTTCCAGATGAAGTCGCCAAGGATGCAGGAAGGTGAGAGTTCGCCCACTCTCCACACTTCCCAGACCCGGGACCAGAGTTCCCAGGGGTGGCCCGAAACTCCCCGAGCGGCCGGGTGCCCGGGGCGGAGCACTGAGGAGGTTAGAATCCCCCGGAACGCTCCAGCCGCAGCCAAACGCGAGAGCCGCTTGGGCTCGGCACAGAACACAGGCGGCAACAGGTGCGTGGCTGCTGGCTGAGGAAGCTGGCCCCGGCCGCCAGCCAGAGCTCGCCTTGGACCTCGCCAGTGAAACCCGAGACGCAGAGAGAGGCAGCGGCGGGACCAGCTGCGCAGCGCCCTCACCTGAGCGCCCTCACCTGCGCGCCCTCACCTGAGCGCCGCTCACCTGGACCCCTCACCTGGACCCCTCACCTGACGCCCCGCGGGTGGCCTGGGCATCCATGCTCCGGAGCTGGCTGAGCGCGAGTCCCGCCTGCTGCCGCGCTCGCGTTGCTCCTCCTCTGGACTCCCGGTGCCCCCGCCACCTCCTCTGGGCTCCTGCACCCAGGACTCCCTCCGGACTGCCGGCGCTCCTCTCCCGTCGACCACTATGGAATATTCTTCTTCACTAACGAACTTCCGCATTACTCACCTCCCCCAGGAATATTTATTCTATTTATTTATTTATTTATTTATTTATTTATTTATTTATTTATTTGGTGCAGGGTCTCACTACACAGCTCAGACTTCTAGTGAGTCTCCTGTCTGAATCTCCCCAAAGCTGGGAGTACAGGCATGAGCTACCACGACTGGTGTTGGTGGCCGACACTGCACTTCCGGGGTTCCGGGAATCGAACTCGCATCCTTGAGCTTGCTAGGCAGGCGCTTAGCCAGCCGAGCTATCTCCCCAGCCCTTCATTTTGTTTTTGTTTTGGAGGAAAAAAAAAAAAAAAAAAAACGCATTGTGATACACACACACACACACACACACACCACTTGTTACTGAGCCCGGGTAGGCCTGGTGGGCCTGGACTGACACTGTGTCACACCCACTTCCTCTGCCTCCTTTCTCCCCCTCTTGTTTCTCTTTCTGTAGACCAAAAGTTTTCATTAACCATTTTCAAAACTGCACCATTGATCAATAGCTCAGAGGCAATCAAGGATAGAAACACAGGACATCCAGTAATTTTTTCTGCCCATTTCAGTCTTGCCAGTTTTTTTTCCCCCTGAAAATTGTAATGTGCCTGCTTTGCTGATACCTAATCCTTTTATTAAACGTTCAAGCTGGCTCTTGCTTGAAATAGCAACCTTCAATGCAGGCATTTTGTTCTCCAGTATACAGTACTTGGCCTGTTCTAAGGTGTTATTTTTCTGGGGGTGCAGGAATAAATTTTAAAATTCAACTGGCATCCTGGTGAGGTTGAACTCCTCAGTTCTCAGTTGCTGAGGCAGGAGGTTCACTTCAGTGCACGAGTTCAAGACCAGCCTGCACACCATGGCAAGGCCCAGCCGTCTGCCTGGGAGCAGAAGGTTGCAACTGGCCGCTCTCAGTCTTGTTTTAGGACTGTCCCCTCAGGCTGCTGCATCCTCCGAACCTATGGGCCTCTGATCCCCGGACAGCTCTGGAACACGTTTGCCTGCTCACCCATCCACTGTACCCCACAGCCACTCAGAGGAGTCCTCCAACTGCTCCCCACTCTGCACCCCACCTCGTGAACAACTGACTGAGAAATCCTAGAAGTTTCCATGCGCGGGATGCAAAATGGCCCAGCTGTGCTCCCCACAGTCACTGCCACAGCGTGCACCCGACTTTGGATCCCCCAGCTCGGCACCCCATTGTGTGCAAGCTTGCTGGGAAGCCTAAGACTCCATTTTGTGCAGTCAGGAAGTGTCAGCACTCCCTGGGCAGCAGCGCCCCAAACAACAGGTCCCCATTCATCACATGATTAACTGGCCACTCCCAGTTATCCCGGATTTGAATTTTTAATTTAATCAAAAAATTTGCTGTGTATATGGCTTAGGAAATGGATCTAGCAACAGCCGCCTGCTTGTTCTCTCACAGCAAAGGTGCGCATTCTTTCCCCTGGTTAGAATGGTCTCTCCTTCGCTGTATTTCGGTGCCCATATACATTACAGCACTTGTTTTATGGACAGTTGTACTATTGCTACAATAATACTACACAATCTGACATTCTGACATATGTTTGGACATCTCAAAAAAAAGATCTTTTTCATTCTTTCTCATTAAAAACTAGGATGAGTGAGTTTAAGATATTTGGAGCTCACTGATAGTTCATTTAGTCTTTTTTTAAAAAAAGGGAATAAAAAATAGGAAAAACAACTTTAGACATGGTACAGAATTTCACTAAACAAAATCATATGAATTCAGTAATGGTTGTTATGCTATATAGTGTTTTCTTCTTCTTCTTCTTCTTCTTCTTCTTCTTCTTCTTCTTCTTCTTCTTCTTCTTCTTCTTCTTCTTCTTCTTCTTCTTCTTCTTCTT